GGAGGCAGTGCAATTGGCACAGGATAGAGCAGGGTTTAGGGCTGTTGTACATAGGGTTGCTATGAGTCGCAAGTGACTCGACGGCACATAACAACAACAGTAACATAACAATCCAGTGTTTAACAGCACCACCCCGTGACTCCTTCCATGATAAAGCACTTCATAGATGTGAGTTGTTTGCTGTTGTTTACTGTTGAGTTGGAACTGCCCCATAGCTGACCCTCTAGTGGATTTTCAGAGGCAGTTCATTGCAGGAGAGGAGATTGACTATATTTCTCCCATGGAGCAGCTGGTGGATTCAAACCACGTGCCTTCAGTGTTGCAGCACAGCTTCTTACCTCCAGGCCATTGGTGACCTCATTATTTTCATGCTCCTTCATACTTTAAAAATAAATATTTGATTTCTAATCTGGCTGGAATAAAAACTTCCCCCTTAAAGGCCACGAGCTCACTACCTCCCTTGAGTCCAGGGCTGATGTGAACCAGTATTCTCTCCTTTCAGCAGCACCACGACAAGTGGGGGCGAGAATGAGCATGAGGATCTGGACCAGGAGTGGAAGCCGCCCAACGAGGAGTTAATCAAGAAGCTGGTGGACCAGATAGAATTCTACTTTTCGGATGAGAACCTGGAGAAAGATGCCTTCCTGCTGAAGCATGTGCGGAGGAACAAGCTGGGCTACGTGAGCGTCAAGCTCCTCACATCCTTCAAAAAGGTGAGACGACTTCTCCGGACGCTGCTTCTGGCATGCTCCAGGGTTCTTTGGGGTTGTGACTTGCTCACTGCTTTGAAACCAGAGAGCTCACAATTTTTAAATGTTTTTCTTCAGCTTAGAGAAACAAATGAGCAAGAGAAAGACTTGAGAATTGTTATTTATAATATCCCTCTACACTGTTACAAGGGTCTTGAGGTGCTCTGGTGACATAATCCTTAAGGAGCCGCACTGCTGACCCTGCATTGCTGGCGCCCCTCTAGCATTTACAGCCCACCAGCCGCTCCACAGGGGAAGGATGGGCATTCTTCTGGGGTATGATTTTCACCCTTCAGAAACTCACTGGAGGATCAGGTATGAGTCAGTTCTGACCATGGCAGTGAGTTTGATTTTGACCTGAGGTGGTGGTGGGATAAATTTCAGCTAATAGCAGCACTTTAAAAACGATGTTATTTGTCTTTGTAAAGTTTCTAGCAATCTTAGCAGGCAAGTGAGTGACTAAGGGGATGTTCTGCCGGGACAGGGGCACATGGTGGCCTTGAAAAACACCTCTTCAGGCCTAGCATGACAGGAAGTCCAAGATTTCCATTTTTCCAGCTGGGTACATAAGGAGGGAAAGGTGAGCTCGGAAAGCTGAGAGAGGAACCTACTCTGAGACAGCGCTGCTGCAGCTGAGGCCACGCTCTTGTCTCCAAGAGGGAGATAGGGATAGCTGTGGGGTGCCTAGCTATGGGGTGCCGCTGTCTGGGTGGCAAACCGTTAGCCCTGCTGTTTACAGATCCGGCAGCTGGGCTGTGAGCTCCCAGCCTTCCAGAGAGTTGACAGAGCAGTTGCTGTAAGATCAGTTTCTCCCTTGGGGAAAGTGTATTTACTAGAGTGGAAAAGCACCATACGGCCTGTTGCATAACAGGATGGTGATGGGTGGATCTCAGGCAGGCTGCCTGTGTGCTCTGTCAGAGAGCACCGGAGGTGAGCTGTTCTCCCCGGAGCTGGCCCTGCTGCCTTGTCTGCTGGTAGACTCTGCTGTCCCTTCTCGCTCCCTTCCCCACATTTACTCATCAGACAGAGACTGAGCACCTCCTCTGAACGACGGACTGTGTGAGGGATGAGGAGCACAGATCGAATGTGGCGTTCTCCCTGCCCTTGAACGTCTCAGGCGAATAAAGGAGTAAAGTGCATAAGGGAATACATACAGTTCAACTACAGATGGGAGGACAGAAGGAGAATTGAAGCCTTTGAGCTGTGGTGCTGGAGAAGAGTATTGAATATATACTGTGGACTGCTAAGAAAACAAACAGATTCATCCTTGGAGGCAAGGATTCTGGGGCTTCATCTGACATACTTTGGGCATGTTTCAAGGAGGGACAGGTCCTTGGAGAGGGACATCATGCTTGGGAGGGTGGAGGGATGGTGCAAGAGGGGAAGACCCTCTATGAGGTGGATTAATTCAGTGACTGGGGTAATCGGGATGGGTGTGTCAGAGGCAGTGCGATTGGCACAGGATAGAGGTGGGTTTAGGGCTGTTGTACATAGGGTCGCTATGAGTCGCAAATGACGGCACATAACAACAACAACAACAGATATTGTTATGTGTCGCCGAGTTGACTACTGTTTAGAGTGACCCTATGGATCCGGGATCTGAACCCTGCTCTATCTTACACTGTCCTTATCTTCTCTGATAAATTTGAGCCCATTGTTACAGTCACTGGGTAAATCCATCTTGTTGAGGGTCTTCCTCCCTTACAATGACCCTCCATATTTCCCAGCATGATATTTTCCAAGGAGTGGCCTCTCCAAACAACGTGCTGTAAGTATGTGAGATGAGGCTTCACCATCCTTGCCTCCAGGAAACACGAGTGTTGCTCAACTCAGAACTCAGCTCATTACCATCAAGTTGGAACAAACTCATAGCTGACTCCCTCCTCCCACCTCCAGTGGGTTTTTAAAGACTATAAATTACATCAGAGGAGATTGCCTCACTTTCTCCCTTGAAGCAGTTAGTGGATTTGAACCACCTGCCTTTGGATTGGCAGCACACCTTCTTAAGCACTAGGCCACCAGAGGGATGGGAAAAGAACAGCCCAAAGGATCTAGTTGTTCAGAGCAACTAGCCCTACCTGGAGAACTGAAATCTCTTCCCAGAGGTGGGACTTTAAAATCAGATGTTGGAGGGTGAGTAGGAGTTTCAAGTAATGTTCAGAAAACAGTGAGCAAACTATCACAATGAAAGTTCTAGAGAAACTCAAAATGATGAAAAAGCCAGTGGCATCATCTTATCAGCCTTCTGTACTTCTCGTTCTTCCTGGGGCTCCTGAGAGTCGGCCTTCTTCTTTTAAACTGCCACTTATGGATTTATTTTTGAGCTCTCTTCTCTGTGCAGTCCTGAGTAGCACAAATGGTTGAGTGCTTGACTTAAATAGTGCCTGGATACCCTAATAAATGGTGATGGACACAGGCCTGGAACGCCTGTGCTGTAACCAGGATCTCCCAGGGAGCCTTCCCCACTGCTGTCGATTGGGATGCACAGACGGCCAACCAGGTTAGTCATTCGAACCCACCCAGGGGCACCTGGAAGAGAGGCCTGGTGATCGGCTCCCTAAAGGTTACAGCCTTGGAAATAAAAGGGCAAAGGAGTGAAGTTCTTCTCTGCTCACATGGGCTCTGCAAGTTAGCACTGGTTCTTTAGCATCTGGTTTGGCTTTTGGCATTTTTTTTCATCATTCTCTGTCCAAATTACCTACGAAGTAGACATAGTCTTCTCTCCTCCTTCAAATGGGCACAAATACCCTTTTCATTGTAAAGCGTTCCCTGCTAATTACAGTGTTGTTCCCTAGAGGGATGGTAGGTCCTCCCCAGAACCGCCTGCTTGTCTCTTGCTTGGACATGGTCTCTTGTCAGTTTCTGCAGCCCCCTGAGTGAGGCCAACGTTTTCTTCACCGAGTTGCTCCTTCCTCAGCCTATGGGCTTATTAGGTAGCACAGTCTCTCTTCCCTGAATACTTTCTCAAAAGAAAAAAAAAAGACAATTTTGTTTTGTAGAAGATTCCACTTTGTTTCATTCCCTGGGCTTCCAACAGCCTTGTACTGATCTACAATAATCATCTTTACCCCTTCTAGTTCCTTCTTAACTCTGTCCACCTGAAATCCTACCCTCTGCGTAGAGGCCTGGCTCGCCCTGCCGTTAGCCTGTATCACACAGAGCAGGCCACTGAGTGTATGAAGAGATGAGTTATGATTCTAGCAGCCTGAGTCTAAGTATAGGCAATCTTGGCCAGGGGTTACAAGCAGAGTAGCCAGTGCCTTCTGACCAGGAGGAGGCTGTCTGTCCTGCCTTACAGGGCTCTTAGGTCCTCTCTTCCTGCTCAATTTAATGAAACTTTTTCTTCAGTTCCTGTCAAGGATTATAAACCCTTGGAGTTTCTGGTTCCTTTGCAAATCAGCTTAGCCTAAGAGGACTCAGCGGATCATGCAATATCTGGCTTAAGTTACACCCTCCTGCTCCCTCCTCTGTTTGTGTTTGGTTTTGGTGTGTGTGGGGTTTTTTATTGTGACTCATTCTCCCTGGTATTCCCCTCTCAGGAAGTGGGCCTCTAGCAAATTACTATTTTACCATATAAATGTAGCTTTCATATACTGCAACATTGCTACACAGCATTTCCACTGAGGGAGAAAGAGGGAGTAAGTATTGCATCATTCTCGTGAGGCCACAGTTGGATTTAATTTCCAGTTGAAATTCAAGTCCATCTCACTCTCACGAGACAGGCCAGTGAAGGAAACAGGAAAGATCTTTTGAAACCAATTTCATATAAAACAAACATAACTTTGCAGAAATACCACCTCAGGGAAACATTTGAATGTTAAAATCTCTGAGTCACTCACTCATTCAATGCCATTGAGTTGGAATCGACTTATAACTGACCCTCTGTTGAGTTTCTGAAGCTGTAAATTTCATGAGGAGATTTCAGGAGATGGCCCATCTTTATCCTAAGGAGTAGCTGGCAGGTCTGAACTGCTAGAGAGCTTCAATATTTGGGTTAGCAGCATAGCTTCTGCAGCTTAAAGGGTCAAAGCTCCCTCTGTCAACGGAAGTACATCATATTTGAATATTGATAGCTATGATACTTACTGGGCAATCATGACAAGCTTGATGCTGTCCTAGGTCATATATATGTATACACACATACACATAAACCCAACCATACTTATTGCTGTTGGCTCAGTTCTGGTTCATAGTGACCTCATGAGTGTCAGGAGTAGAACTTTGCTGCATAGGGTTTTTGAGGACTGTAATCTTGCAGAACTAGAACAGCAGGGCTTTTACCACAGTGTTCCTGGGTGAGTAAAAACCACCAGCATTTTGGTTAGTTGTTGTTGTTATGTGCTGTCGAATCATTTGCGACTCGTAGCGACCCTATGTACAACAGCTCTGGACCCTGCTCTATCCTGTTCCAACCTTATTTTTCTCTGACACGCCTACATCCATTACCCCAGTCACTAACTTGGTCCATCTCATCCAATGTCTTCCTCTCTTGCACTGTCCCTTCACCTTTCTAAGCATGATGCCCTTCACCATGGACTGGTCCCTCCTTGCAACATGTCCAAAGTATGTCAAATGGAGCTTCAGAATCCTTGCCTCCAAGGAGCTGCCTGGTTTCACACTCTCCAGGACAAATCTGTTTGTTCTCCTACCAGTCCGTGATATACTCAGTACTCTTCTCCAGCACCACAGCTCATAGGCATCAATTCTCCTTCTGTCATCTCTAGTCACTGTCCAGCTTTTTGATGCATAGCAAATAAGTGTGAAGACTATGGCCTGGATCAGGCACACCTTACTCTCCAGACCGACATCATTGCTTTTCAGGACTCTGGAGAGGTCCCTGATAGCAGACTTTCCCAATGTAAATCGTCTTTTGATGTCCTGGCTGCTGGTACCAAGAGTGTTGACTGTGGAGCCAAGCAAACTGAAGCTGTTAACAATCTCAGTCTGTTCATCATCTGTCATGACTAGTTGTTGTTGTTGTTAAGTGCCATCAAGTTGTAGGCGACTCATAGTGACCCTATGAAGGAAAATCCTCAACACTTGTGTGACTTTCATCCTTTCTCCATTTTCATAGGGTTTCCGGAGGCAAACTATTATGGAAGTGGATGCCACTTCTGCTTCCAAGAGAAATTATTGTGCCAATAGATACCTTTCAAAATACATCACATTTAGTTAGAATCAAACTGATTCCACCTCCCGCACCTTATGAATTGCAGCATAGAATTGCCCTGCAGCGGTGTCAGGGCTCCATTGTTTTGGAAGCAGATCACTAGCCTTTTCTTCTCAGGTGTCGCTAAGTGGATTTGAATTGCCAGCCTTTTGGGAAGTAGTCAAGCATTTACCCCTGTTGCCACCCAGGGTCTCATGTATACATACACACTGAATTCATTTAATCCTCATGGCAGCTCTCCGAGGTCAGGGCTATAAACATCTTTATTTCACAAATGAGAAAGTTGAGATACTGATAGGTTTAATAACTCCCCAGGTCTTATACCCAGGCAGGGGTAGGGTTTGGGTTTGTTTACGCTTCCATTTTTCTCCAGAGTCTGGAGGGTTAACCTCTAAACTTGCACAGCATAGAATTTTTCCGTTATCACAGAAAGTTCTGCCAGACAGCACTGTTCTAAACTGTGCTGCTTCATTTGAAGTTGTAGAAAGTATGTCCACTCAGTAGATTTTTGAGGCCCACCTATGTGTGCTGGCTAGGCTCCAGATGCCAATGTTACAGTGAGAAGGGAGGGCCATTATAACTGAGGTGCCACTGGTGACTGTTTTGTTTTCTTCAGGTGAAGCACCTTACGCGGGACTGGAGAACCACAGCTTATGCCTTGAAATATTCAGTGACTCTTGAGCTGAATGAGGATCACCGGAAGGTGAGGAGGACCACTCCGGTCCCGCTCTTCCCCAATGAGAACCTTCCCAGCAAGATGCTCCTGGTCTACGACCTCTACCTGTCCCCTAAGCTGTGGGCCCTGACCAATCCCCAGAAGAATGGAAGGGTTCAGGAGAAGGTGATGGAACATCTACTCAAGCTTTTTGGGGCCTTTGGCATTATCTCCTCGGTAAGGATCCTCAAACCTGGGAGAGAGCTGCCGCCCGATATCCGGAGGATCAGCAGTCGCTACAGCCAAGTGGGGACCCAAGAATGTGCCATTGTGGAGTTTGAGGAGGTGGAGGCGGCCATCAGAGCCCATGAGTACATGATCTCGGAATCTCAGGGCAAAGAGAACATGAAAGCTGTGCTCATTGGTATGAAGCCACCCAAAAAGAAGCCGCCCAAAGACAAGAACCACGAAGAGGAGCCTGCCGTGAGCGTCCACCTCGGCAAGTCCCTCAACAAGCGAGTAGAAGAGCTTCAGTACATGGGAGACGAGTCTTCTGCCAACAGCTCCTCAGACCCTGAGAGCAACCCCACATCCCCGATGGCTGCCCGACGGCATGTGAGCAACAACAAGCTCAGCCCGTCTGGTCACCAGAATCTCTTTCTGAGCCCAAATGCCTCTCCCTGCTCCAGTCCTTGGAGCAGCCCCTTGGCCCAGCGCAAAGGTGTTTCCAGAAAATCGCCCCTGGCCGAGGAAGGTAGACTGAACTCTGGTACCAGTCCCGAAGTCTTTCGTAAGTGCATGGATTATTCCTCCGACAGCAGCACCACTCCCTCCGGCAGCCCCTGGGTCCGCAGGCGCCGGCAAGCTGAGATGGGGACGCAGGAGAGAAGTCCTGGGGCAAGCCCTTTGCTCTCTCGCAAGATGCAGACTGCAGACGGGCTACCTGTGGGGGTGCTGAGGCTGCCCAGAGGCCCTGACAACACCCGAGGATTTCACGGTGGACACGAGAGGAGCAGGGCCTGTGTATAATAATACCTTCAATTTTTAATATCCCCTTCCTGGGGAGCCACCTCTGTTTTCAAGGCTCTGGCATGATATAGAATGTAATTAAGTCCCCTCAGAAAGATTTTTGTATACATGTAGACCTCATAATTTATATATTTGTAATGTATATAAATTGTCCAGTACACTATGGTTATAAGATCATCTTCTAGTTCAGAACACAGATTTGTTCCAGCATGGCCATTGCTTTCATGGTGCCTGATGTATGGCTCTGAAGGGCAGTTGGACAGAGGCTTTCTGGGGATAGCTGGTGGAAGGCCTTTTCTTCAGGGTGAGGTTCTTCCATGGTGTGACTGAGCTGTCCTCTGGGGATGGCTGGTGGAAGGCCTCTTCTTCAGGATGAGGTTCTTCCATGGTGCGACTGAGCTGTCCTCAGAAGGCCATGCCAAGGCTTCCTGAGAGCCTAGAAGAGTTCTCACCGACTTGTTATCCTGATAACATTGTCTCTTCTAGGACCAAGTGTGTGTTTCCTGTCCAGTGAATAAATAATAAAAGACCCAACTGGAGTGCTGACTCTAAGGTCATTCATTGTCTGTGCCTGAAAAAATATAGTATCCTCTGACAAAGCTCTGTGAGGCCCTAGGGAGCTGCTGGTTGTTGTTGGGTGCTGTTGTGTCACTTCTGACTCATGGCTACTCTGTGTACAACACAGTGAAACACTATCCAGTCATTCCCGTCCTCAGAATCCTTGCTGTATATGAGCCCATTGTTGTAGCCACTATGTAAGGCTGTCCTGTTGAAAGTCTTCCTTGTTTTGGCTCTCTCACTACTTTGCCAAGCATGTCCTTCCCCAGGGACTAGTCTCTCCTGATGTACATGAGATAAAGTTCTGCCATCTTTTTATTTTCCTAGGGAGCATGGTGGCTACATCTCTTCCAAGACAGAACATGTATTTGTTCTTCCAAGAGTGAACTAATTTCATTCTTTAGGTTTTTGTTATTGTTGTTAAGTGCCATGGAATCAAGTTTGACTGTAGCAACCCTATGATCAATAGACCTGAACCTTGTCCATCTTGTGCCATCTCCATCATCTCTGACACACTGGAGCCCTTGCTGAGTTCATCTGATTAGGAATCTTCCTTTCTTTCCCTGACCTTCCATCTTTCCAAGCATGATGTCCTTCTCTAAGGAATGACTTTTCCTAGCAACATGCACAAAGTATATGAGATGAAGCTTTATTATCTTTGCCTCCAAGGAACACTCTGGCTGCACCTTTACAAAGACATATCTGTTTATTCTTTTAGCAGTCCGTGGGATATCAGTACTCTTCTCCAACACCAGAGCTCAAAGGCGCCTCTTTTTCTGTCATTATTCATTGTCCAGCTTTTTGATGCTTAGCAAGTGATTGAAAAGACTATGACCTGAGTCAGGTGCACATTATCTTCTAACACCACAGTTCCGAGGCATTCTTTCTTGCCATCAAGTTTTCACATGCATATGAGGTGATTGAAAACACCATCGTAGGCTGACCTTTGTCTTAAAGTGACAATTTTGCTTTTTAACTTTTTAAAGGGGCTTTTTGCAACAAATTCCCCAGTGCTTAAATCAGGGATTTATTTCTTGACTTCTGTTTCCATAGGTGTTGATTATGGATTCAAGAATGGTATCCTGTGGGATTGTAGCCCAGCTTCCTGCTACGAGGCCACCAGACCTCTCTATATAAAATGACATCCTAAACAACATCAGCAAGGGAGCTCAAGTGGCCTAGTGGCAAGAAGCTGTGCTGCAATCCCAAAGGTATGTAGTTTGAGGCCACCAGCTGCTCCATGGGAGAAGGATGGGCATTCTCCTCCTGTGCAAGGAACTGCCTCTGAAAACCTACTGGGATGGAGGGTCACCTATGGGTTGGTTCTGACTCTATGGTACACAACACACACACACACACACACACACACACACACACACACACTCCAACAAACAATATCAGTATTTTCTATTTACCCTGATGTTGCTAACTTGTCTAGTTGTGAGGATGTTTGATTTCTTTATGTTGCGGTGTATCTACACTGGAGACTGTAGTCTTGATCTTCATCCTTGATTTGAGTCTTCCTCGCAAGCAAGGTATCATTTGCATATTGTTGATGAATCTTTCTTCAGTCTGATGCCACCGCATTCTTCTTAATCCCCAGCTTCTTGGATTATCTGCTCAATATTCTGATTGACGAAGTTCAGTGAAAGACTACAAGCTTGTCATACACGTCTCCTGATTTTAAGCCACATAATCCCCTTGTTGTGTTTGAACAACAGAACATGCCTCTTGGTCTTTGTACAAATAAATTCTACATGGGCACACTTCTTCGTACTATTATCCCATGATTTGTTATCCACAAAGTCGAGTGCCTTTATACAGTCAGTAAACATATAGGAAAACATCTCTCTTGCATTCTTTGCTTTCAGCCAAGATCTGCCTAATGTCAGCAATGATTTCTGTCATCCCACATCCTCTTTTGAATCCAGATTGCATTTCTAGCAGTTCTCTGTTAGTATATAGTTACAAAAATTTTTAATTATCTTTGGCAGAATTGTATCTGAATGTTCTATTAACTATAATTGTTCGGTAAGTTCTGCATTCTGTTGTATCAGCTTTCTTTGTTGGCGGGTTTGTTATCGTCTACATTTCTTAAGCTAGACAGTAAAAGACTTTTATAGTATTGCATCCACTTGCTAAAACATCTCATTTAGCATTCAATCAGTTCCTGCTACCTTGTTTTGTGGTAGTTTGGACTTGCTTCAGTAATGTCAGTTCTTACTCCTGTGCTATGTCCTGAAATGGCTGGACAGTAACTAGTTTCTTTTGATATAATGACTGTGTATTCCTTCTGTCATTATTTATGTTTTCTGGAACATTCAGTTTTGGCCCTTAGAATCCTCTAAATTGCAACCAAAGACTTGACTTTGTTGTTCAGTCTTTTCAGCTTAGGAATTGTGAGGTGTATTTTTCCTTTTTTGTTTTCTAACTATAATTCATTGCATATTTCATTATAACATTTTACTCTTTTCTTGAACTGTTTTTTTTTAACTTTCCATTCAGCTTTTTTATATCATCATCCCCCCCACACACACACACACTTATTTTAACTACTAGACATTCAAGAACAAGTTTTAAAGTCTCTTCTGACCTCGTTTTTGATCTGTTTTCAGGTTTTTTCCAAATGCTCCTTTGCTTTTGTTAATGTGTGAAGTACTGAATGTCGTTCACAACTCCTGTGGTGCATCAAATGCTCAGTGCATCAGATCTATTCTTGAGATGGTTTCTAAATTCAAGTATGATATGCCCAAGATTTTTTTTACTTTCATGGTTTGGTTTGGTTTTTTTATTCAGCTTCACTTTGAACTTGCGTATGAGCAATTGATGGTATGTTCTCCCTTGTTCTGACTGGTCATACTAGGTTTCTCTATCCTTTATTACCACAACTGTAGTCTTATCAGAACTTAGCAGAGACTCTATAACACCCAAAGAGAACAACCAGTTGATTCTGATGCAGACGTAAGTTTGAGAACCATTGCTATAGGGGGAAAAATCTTCAGTAAAATCTTGCTTGCATGTGAAATCAGTGACATTGTTCTGTAGTTTCCACATTCTGTTGGGTCACCTTTCTTTGGGATAGGAACAAATATAGATCTCTTCCAGTCAGTTGGCCAAGTGGTAGTTCTCCAGATTTCTTGGCACAACTTGGTGAGCAACAACAACAACAACAACAGAACTTTAGACAGTTTGAATCTCACATTTTCCATTTTTCTAACCTTTCATCAGAAGCAATCTTGCTATATATTCCAACTGTTAGCTTATCCACTTTCTATTTATGTAAACCATGTGTAAGAGTGTTTGTTTATAATTATTGGGCCATTATTAGATGCCAGAGATTATGGTAAGCCTTCACCAACCAAATGAGAAAGTTCCATTTTATGTGCACTGCACAGAAGAAGCAACAGACCTTATATGGTAACCTAACTTCTCCAATATTGAGTGACTAGACTGGAGGATTTAAGCTTTATCTGGTGACCTGACTCAGAAACTTGTACTCTTGACCACTAGACTCTACTAAGCATCTTGGAACTTCAGCATCTTTTTTCCCCTTCTTTTTAAAGTAACAACTGAAAAAGGAGTGAATACTTTTATGTAGCATTCTCCTGCATCCTAACAATTTTCCTAAATATATTACATCATTCCTACACTCAGGACATGTTTATCAATTTTACACATGACGGTGTTGAGGTAGGCTACTCCTGTCTATCTCAAGAAATCATGAAAATGTAAACATTGTATACAGGCAATCCTTATGCCAAAATTATGCACAACCCAGTGTGATAAGCCAGCCCCCATAAAACCTATTAAAAATGTATTAGCCTCTGAAAAACCTCTTTAAAATTTACTGGTTTAAAAATTTGAGGTAGACACAATGGTTTATAATAACAAATGGGTGCTACTTTGCAGTGTCTATCAGAATATAATGATCATATTTAAAATGTTTTAATGTATCTGGAAGTATTTTTTGTTGTTGTTGGGTACTGTCAAGTTGGAACCGATGCACAGCTGACCTTCCAGTGGGTTTTCAGACATGGGAGGAGATTGTCCATCCTTCTCCCTCGGAGCAGCTGATGGCTTCAAACTGCATACCTTTGGGATTGCAGCACAGCTTCTTGCCACTAGGCCACCAGAGCTCCTTTGCACTATAATTCTATAATCACTCATTCATTTTAGCTACAAACTGTACCTAACCATTCAAACTTAGATACAAATATGACTTAAAGATTTAGGAATGGAATTTCTAATCTAGGTTCTAGCTGAATACATTTTCTTTTCATTTTTTATTGGTTTGTAAACATTGTGTCTCATTCATGTATATTGCATTTTATATAATCATTCATACACATTGTGTATTTGTATCATTAATTACTGTTACTCTATGCCTATCTCTTTGAGTCTCATGTATCTTTTCTCTTCCTGCCTCCCCATCTGTCCATTTA